GGGGGAGGAGGGCGGCCGGGGCTGGCGAGCTGCTGGGTCGGTGGGAAAAGGGGGGCGCTCCCAGGTGACAGTCCTCGTCCACGCCCGTGGGGTGCGCGGGCCGAGGCCGCTGAGGAAGGAAGGGAAAGAAAGGACTGGAATGTTGGGAGAGGTGGGAGAGGTGGGAGAGGGAGAGGGTCCGGCAGAATGGGGGGGGTCACGTTCAGGGTTGGGAGGGGCGGAGAGTTTCTGGGTAGAGTTGGGGGGGGAGTGGAGTTTATGTGATTGATTATGTTGGGGGAGGGGAAGCTAGGGCCTGGTTCTGTTTCCTCTGAAGCCCCCACGAGACCTTTCCTGGGGAAGGGCAGGGTTCGCGCTGGGGCCTGTCACTTGGCTGAAATATAGCCCCCCCCCCAGCTTTCAGGAACCCTCCCTGCCTGGGGGTCTCCACGCTGGGACCAGCTGCAGCCCTGGGCTTACAGCCAGAATTGCCCACTCCTTTCTCTCACTTCTCTTTCTCTTTCTCTCCAGCTGCTTCTTGTGAGGGCTTGTCAGGCAGCGGGTTGGAGACCTTGGGGCCAGAGGCAGCGGGACCGGGCAAACCGGTTTGGGGCTAGAACAGGACCAGGGAACCAGCTCTGTACATCCTTCCTCCCTGGCAGCTTTTTCCCATCCCTCCCCTCCTGCTCTCCCCCAACAGCCCTTAGTCCTAGCGTGACCTTGGTGGTGGGGCGTCTTTCCCAGTTCCATGTTTCACTCTTCCTATTTGGGACTCGAGGAGGCCGAGGCCTCAATGCCACTCGGATGTCAGGATGTGGCCTTAGGCTGCCCAGTCCTGCTCCCTCCACTTTTTCTCCAACCCCTTCCCCTTCACTGTGGGGGATGGAGAGAGTGAGCAGGGGATAGGGTGGCTCTTCCTCCCTGGCTTACCAGCTCAGGACTTCAGTTTTCCTCAACCCACTCTTCTCTAACTGCTTTAAAGGAGAGTGACAGTCACTTTTACTTCCCTTTCTGGCTGTGTTCCCGGTCCCCCTGCACCACCACATTCACCCTGTCCTGTCTTCACTCTCGTCCCACCCGCAAAGTTCAGAGACCCTGATGGCCTCGGGAGTGGAATTTCCTGGTCACTTCGCAGCCTCATTGGTCATTTCATGCCAAGTCCCCCACACATACTTTTCCTCCACCCAGCTCTGATCGAGTCCCTGGAAAAGAAACAGAACCGTCCTTGTTCTCTCCACTGCCCCTTTCCCTCTCTCCTCCCCTTCTCTCCCTGCTCCCCCCCTCCCCCAGCACCATCCACCTCTGTCCACTTGGAGGGTGGGGGAATGTTGAGGGAGAGTCCATTCTCAATGCAGCCTGTCTGGTGGCATTGGGAGTTTCCTCTGATTCTTCATTGTTTTATCTGCCCCCTCCTTTCCACCTGCTGCTACCACCATGGGACAGACCCTGTGACCGACTGACCCCCACTGACCACAGCTCCCCTCTCTGGACAGCTGTGTTTTGACTTCCGCCTTGTCTGACTCCTCCCTTCCAGTGGTGGGAAGGGAAGTAAGGGAAAGCCCAGACTCCTGGGTTCTTCCCTCCCCTGGAAGCAGCGTTTCAGAGTTTGTGTGAGCTCATCTCAAGGCTATTAAAAAAAAAAACTCTTCGTTTTTAAACTGGTCCAGGGTGCCAGACCATTAGGGATCCAGGCCTGGAGGGAAGGGAAATTGCTGTTCATCTGAAGCGTGATATCCATGAAGCTGCCCTGCTTGGCCTCTTTGAGCTGCCTGTCCTATAGGACTGGGGAAATACAGTGCTAATAAGAAACCCAGATGTGCCCTCCCCTGGCTGGCAGTAGTGAGAGGGGAGGAATTTTTTCCTTGGACACTAGAACTACTGGAAAGTTCTTGTGTCAGGTTGGTTGATGAAGCTTGAGGGTGGGCGTGGTGAGGAGAAAACAGGTCACAGCAGGAGGGGAGGAGGGAGGGAAGCCTGGGCCCTCCAGGGTGTGAGGCAGGGCAGCATGGCATGACAGGACATGTGAAGAGGGTGGGGAGTCTGGAAAAGGTTCCTCATGGGACAGAGGATACCTGGCACGTGTTCCTGCAGCCTGTACGCAGATGTTCTATGCAGGACACATGTGGAAATAGTGCCATGTCATGTGTTCATAGGTGTACACACAAGAGTGCCGTGATACAGGACACAGATAAACAGTGTGTACGTGGCCTCCAGGAAGGATCTCAAGGTCAGATAATAAAGGAACTGCTCAATGGCTACTGGGAGGGGTTGGAGCTCACTTGAGGGAAATGAGGAGGAACAAGAGCAGCCAACTGAGAGGAAAGAAATTCTTCACTGCAGAAAGTCTTTCTTGAGGTACACCCTGCTGCCGTTAGTTTCTCAGGACCTACGAGGCCAAGGCCTCTCTCGTTCTTCAAGAAAATCTAGGTGTAGGGACACCAAAAGGGCTGGCAGAGGGGCGAGGACTTTAAAAATGTCCATCTGGCCAAGCGCAGTAGCTCACATCCATAATCCCAGCAGAGACGAGAGGATCTGTCTGAGCCCAGGAGTTGAGACCAGACTGGGCAACTTGGCAAGAGCCTATTTTTACAATAAATAAATGAGCCGGGCATGGTGGCTACTTGGAAGGCTGAAGTGGAAGGCTCGCCTGAGCCCAGCAGGTCAAGGCTGCAGTGGCCATGATTGTGCCACTGCACTCCAGCCTGGGCAACAGAGTGAGACTCCGACTCAAAAAAAAAAAAAAAAAACTGCCCATCTGGTACAGTGTTCACTCTTTGGGGAATGGGGACAGCAGGCATCCAGTCCTCACCACTGTGCAATATGCCCATGTAATAAACATGCACTTGGACCCCACGAATCTCAAATAAGGCATAAAAACACATCTAAAAAATCTAGATGTTCGGTGCAAGGTAAGGAAAAAGGGAGGGGCAGGGTGGTGGCCTTGTTTGTGAGAACAAAAAACCGATATTTCCTCTTTAGAGTCACTTAAGCGCTCCTCCCCTTCTGCCCAAGCCCAGGGAGAAGGGAGCTGACCTGGGGCAGCCCACACTTTGCTCATTTCTGCCACCATCCTTTGATCCTCTCCTGTTCCCTAGGTGCTTCTAGTCCCCTCCTCTCCCTTGCTGCCAGCAGCCACTACTCCTTAACCCCTTGGTGTCCTTTGGATTCTGTTCCTTTTTCTGAGAGTCCTACTGTGTGGTTCTTGTGTTTGCGTAAGATGCGCAGTGGTGTACAAGACCAGGATCTGGGGGTGGGAGTGGGAGGAGGGAATGGGAAGGCTCATCAGGAGGGTCTCAAGAATCAGCAAGCCGGGCTCAGTGGCTCAGCCTGTAATCCCATGCCTTGGGAGGCTGAGGTGAGTGGATTGCCTGAGCCTGTGGGTTCGAGACCCACCTGGGCAACTTGGCGAGACCTCATCTCTACAATAAATCAAAAATCAGCTGGGAATGGTAGCGCACGCTTGTAGTTGCAGCTACTTGGAAGGCTGAGGCGGAAGGATCGCCAGAGCCCAACAGGTCAAGGCCGCGGTGGCCGGGAGCGGCCACTGCACTCCAGTCTGGGCGACAGAGTGAGACTCCAACTCAAAAAAAAAAAAAAAAGAATCAACAAAGGAGCACCACGCTGTGCCTCCCTTTTTCTTTACTTCTCAACCTTTCTTTTTACTTTCCTCTAATCCAGGGTTCCAAGTCTGAGGAAGACATAACCTGGTCCTGCCTGCTCCCCTCTCTCTGGCCCTGTTATTCTCGGGGTCTGAGACGTTGACCTTCCCTGCTGGGCTAGGGGCTCTGAGGATTCCACTTTCTCTAGACGCATCCAGCTGTGTGAACCCAGGTGGTGGTACCCCTGGGGAGAGTGAGGAGTTCGGGTGGTCAAGGCATCAGAGCAAGAGCCCTCTGGGGCCTCAGGCACAGGAGTGAAGCTGGAACCATCAGGGAACATGAGTGAATTCTGGCACAAACTGGGCTGCTGTGTGGTAGAGAAACCCCAGCCGGTGAGTCTCCCCACCCCCACACGAAGAGAAATCAGTTACCATGTCTTGTAAAGTGGGTGCCCCATCCAGGATCTGCCATCTGAAGAGCACACTCCTTGCCTCCCTCTCTGTCAGGACAGTGTCTGTGGCCAGGCAGGTGTATACATGGAATAAAGGGGAGTGGGTGATGGCTGAAACGAACAGGCCCAGCTATCACCTCTTGTTCCTGCCCATTCTGAGCTGGGCCGGGGTTGTGGGTGGAGCTCACTACCTGGCAGCTTTCCCCATTGTCGCCTCATCAGGGATGACTTTGACACGTCCTTCCTTTGTCCAGTATTCAGTCAGCAAGCCACTGCCCTCACCATGCTGGGCCGTGTCTTCTTTGTGTATATATTGTTACAGCTTTGTCCTTCAGACCCCAGTGATTGCCTTGGTTTTTTTTTTTATTTTTATTTTTTTAATTTTTTGAATCAGAGTCTCACTCTGTCACTCAGGCTAGAGTGCAGTGGCATGCTCACAGCCAACACAGCCTCAACCTGTTGGACTCAGGCGAGCCTTCCAACTCAGCCTTCCAAGTAGCTGGGACTACAGGTGCATGCCACCACACCCAGTTAATTTTTTGATTTATTGTAGAGATGAGGTCTTGCCAAGTTGCCCAGACTGGTCTCGAACCCCTGGCCAGGCTCAGGTAATCCTCTTGCTTCAGCCTGCCGAAAGGCTGGGATTACAGGCATGAGCCACTATGCCGGTTGATTTCTCTGTTTTAATGCCATGTCCCCTCTTCCCACAAGGCCCTTAGCTCCCCCCTTTAGTGGTTTTCAGGACTCTTTTCCCTTCCTCTACTCTGACTGGAGGAAGGGGCCTCAGACATGACTCCCTATCTTCTCCAAACAGAAAAAGAAGAGAAGACGGATTGACCGGACCATGATTGGGGAACCAATGAATTTTGTCCACCTGACTCACATTGGCTCTGGGGAGATGGGAGCTGGAGATGGACTTGCCATGGTAACAAGGGCACGAGGGGGATGTTGATATGGGGGTGTGGTCTAGAACTGTTCCCCTTTTTTGAACGTTCAAGGGACATAGCAATACTTGATGGGGAAGCAAGAATCTGGGGTTCAAGTCCCAGTCACTGGTTGTGGAAACCTGAGGCCTGGCATTTCAGGTGCCTAGGCCTAGTTCTCTCATCTTTACAACTGAGAGATTGTTCTTCACTGAGATGGAAGATATATATATATATACCTTCATAGTCAGTGGAGGGCTTTTCCAAAACTAGAATCCTCGCTTCTACTTTAGAACTGCTATCTCAGCTGGGCTCAGTGACTCACGCCTATAATCCCAGCACTTTGGGAGGTGGAGGCAAGAGGATTGCCTGAGCCCAGGGTTTGAGAACAGCCTGGGCAACTTGGCAAGACCTCATCTCTACAATAAATAAAAAAATTAGCTGGGCGTGGTGGTACATGCCTGTGGTTCCAGCTACTTGGAAGGCTGAGGCGGAAGGATCACCTGAGCCCAACAGGTTGAGGCTGCAGTGGCTGTGCACTGCACTCCAGCCTGGGTGACAGAGTGAGATGCCGACTCAAAAAAAGAACTGCTATCTCAGTGCTACAGTAAGTCATTTGGGTTTGGAGTGTTCGGGCAGGAAGAATGCTGAGCACCCCTGTCCTAAATAACTTTTTAAGATGCATTTCTGCTGTCACAATAAGGGAAGTGGGTCTAGAGATTGTGAAGTTGTCTTTTCACCAACTATGAAACACACATATCGGCCGGGCTCGGTGGCTCAGCCTGTAATCCCAGCACTTTGGGAGGCCGAAGCTAGTGGATTGCCTGAGCCCGCGGGTTCGAGACCCGCCTGGGCAACTTGACGAGACCTCATCTCTACAATAAATAAAAAATTAGTTGGGTGTGGTAGCGCGCGCCTGTAGTTCCAGCTACTTGGAAGGCTGAGGCGGAAGGATCACCGGAGCCCAGCAGGTCGAGGCTGCGGTGGCCGGGAGCGGCCATTGCACTCCAGTCTGTGTGACAGAGTGAGACTCCAACAAAAAAAAAAAAAAAAAAAAAGGAAACACATATCTGGGATTGTCCTTTGTGAAGGTATCTTCTTGGTAAAAAAAACCCATTTTTCCTCATCCTTCCGAAGGCCAGTGTGAAAGGAGAGACTTCCTGGGAGGAATGGCAGCTCATTTCAGCCCTTTTTGGATTGATGTTATTATCAAGGAGACGGGTCAGCCTCTTCCCAGAGGGTACAAGGCAGACCTCTCACTGTGGAATGTGAAGACTTAGGAGGGTGTCTCGTGTGCTTTTTCACAGACAGGTGCAGTTCAGGAGCAGATGAGATCCAAGGGAAGCCGAGACAGGCCATGGAGCAATTCTAGGGGCTTGTAGCTTCTGTAGGAATGGTGAGTGACACCGTAACAAAACATCCTGGTACCCTGTTTCAGATATAATGCTGAGGCAAGAAGGGAAATGGGGGTGAGGGTAGAGAATTAGAATGAAAGATTCACCGGGCGCAGTGGCTAATGCCTGTAATCCCAGCACTTTGGGAGGCTGAGGTGAGAGGATTGCCTGAGCCCAGGAGTTCGAGACCAACCCGGGCAACTTGACGAGACCTCATCTCTATGATAAATCAAAAAATTAACGGTGTGGTGGCGCATGCTTGTAGTTCCAGCTACTCGATAGACTGAGGTGCAAGGATCGCCTGAGCCCACCAGCAGGTGTTGAGGCTGTGGTGGCCGTGAGCATGCCACTGCACTCCAGCCTGGGCGACAGAGTGAGACTTCAACTCAAAAAAAAAAAAAAAAGGAAGATTCAAGAATGTAGGATCTAGAAAGATAGCGAGAGGGTGCTGTATAGACAGAGATTAAGAGCACGCTGAAAATAGATAAAAGTCTGCACTAGGTGGTGTCTTCTCCTTAAAGCCTAGGTTTTCTTTGAGGCTAATCTTCCTTCTTTTCTTTTCTTTTGTTTTGTTTTGTTTTAATTCAGGTTCGCCATCTTGAAGCCCCTATTCTGTGTCCAGCCCAGAAGACACGCTGCCCCCACCAGATCCCTCCAGTGACCCTCTCTTCCCTATCTGCCTAACAGTGCCTCAGAAGGCTGGGGGCTGGACTCCCTCCATTCCCTCTGGCTATAGCCCCTCCTGGAGATGGGGTCAAGGCAGCCGGACTGACCACATGACTACTGGTTGGCCAGAGGGACACAGCTGAAGCCCTGGGCACCCTCAGATCTGAGATAGGAGTTCTTGGGGATGTGGAATAGGTTCCTTGCTCCTGAATGATGGTCTGGGTGCCACCTGTTTTTAAACTCTTAACCTGGAACTCCTTAATGGGGTAGGTGGATGAGGGTACCAAAGCCAAAACTGGCCTTGATGAGAAGCTTCCTACTTCCTTTCTCTCCTCCTGGGATGAACTCAAGCAGGGGTTGGGAGGGTGACTGCTGCCTGGTCTACCCTTTCTCTTTAGATTTCAGACCTTATGCTCACAGCCCCTCAATATCTCTCTGCCAACACCAGGGTCTTTCTCTAGTTAGACCTCTAATCCTATGTTTCTGTAGTGTCACTAGCTTCTCAGCAACTTTCCTTTTTAAAAAAATTAAAAACTCAAGTTCTCTTAATGACCCCCATCCTGGTACTCCCTCTACCCTTAATCCTGTCCCTGTTAGAAACTCTGTTTCCCATTGAATAAGCGTTAAGGTAAGACATAGCTCTTAACCTGATGGCATTCCATTCAAGTCTTGGGGGACTTGACCTGCCTGCCCTCTGCTAACCTCCCTGCTGGCCCGGGTGAGAGGAGGAAGAGGGGTCTGGAGAGGAACCCAGAATGCAGCAAAACTTGGAGTTCCATCTCATGGTGAACTTCTGACCATTGAGGATGGCTAGGTGGGGAGATAAATAGGTGAAAATCATCTGTGCTTTTAGAGGTCTTAAGGTCCTCACAGCTTCGGAACAGGGAGAGGTTCGAGAACTGGGTTTTACAACCTAGATACTTCAGACATTTGGGGTTGGATGACTCTTTGTAGTGGAGAGCTGTTTTGTGCGTAATAGGATGTTAGCAGCATCCTGGACTCACCCTAGTTATGACAACCAAAAATGTCTCCAGACATTGCCAGGTATCTCCTGGAGGCAAAATCACCCCATTTGAGAACCACAGCTCTAGAGTCAAGATATTTTTCTCTTAAATGATTTCTACCCCGCACTTTGCTCTCATCCTGTTTTTCATCTTAAGCCTGAGCCATGGGTGAACCGCTCGCAAATTAGACTCAGTAGGGCTGCATGCAATGTCCAGACAGTTCCTTACTCAGTGTGTTGCTCATGTGTGCGTGGGCTCATGTCTCTGCATGGACACAGACTGTGCTGCTCTGTGCTTGCCCTCTGGGGAGTGATTCCTGCCTCGCGGAGACATGAGCAGGGCATGGTCGGATTAGGGAAGGGGAGTGAGAAGCATTAGAGACACCCAGCTTCTCCTCCCCACATTATAAGCTCTGTTTCTGTGCCCTTGTCCTAGAACCAGACACAAATAAGACTCAGGGAGTTCTGTCTGAAGACCAGGCCCGCTGCCCGCCTGGCTGGAGAGTCTGCTTTAGATGGGAGCAGGATCTGATGCAGGAGCAGGGTCTTAGGCACTTTCCGTTTTCTCAGGTGTTTTTTGTTCAGGCCCTTCCAGGCTGACTAGGAAGGCAGAACAAGACAGACGGGCTCGCCTGCTCTGAGAGGAGGTCGGGACCTTGCATTAGCTCTGCCACAGGGACGCGTCCTGTTTAATGGTAGCAGGGATGGGGGGGGTGGAAACGGGTGGCCACTCTGCTGGTTCCACCATCTATCCAGCTTGCTCCTACCCACAGAGGTGACAGAGGTTCTCATTTATTCAAGTTTCAGTGTGTTTTTCCTGCAATTTTTCAGGGTCTAGGATTGGTCATTCCCATTTTACACTCAGTTTCAGTCAAGCTGGTTGCTCTGAAAGTTGCCCAACTTGTTGCCCTAAAGTAGCTCGAGGGCCCGAGTGTTACAGTAGAGATATAAAGGGTTTACAGGATAGCGCAGAGGTTGGGGACTCCTGGAATCTCTGGTCACCATGATCCTTCACCTCATTCTAGTATCTCTTCCCTTGGACACAATCTCGTCTCTCCTTTGGTGCTCTCTTGCCTTTAGCTACCTTCTGGAATGTGTATGCGACCATCACTTTAACAATAAGGTGATGGGAATGGGTTTGAGAGTCATAATTTATAATTAAAAGTGTCGGACTTTTAAATACGTTTTTCAAATAAAAGATTTTAAGTAAAGTAGTCGCAGAGTAATCATTACAGGTATATGTTGGATGAAAGGATAGTGTGACTGATGAAGATAATGCCTCGAAAGTGGCCGAGATGGGCCGGGCACGGTGGCTCACGCCTAATCCCAGCATTTTGGAAGGCAGAGGCAAGAGGATTGCTTGAGCCCAGGGGTTCAAGACCAGCCTGGGCAACTTGACAAGACCTTGTCTCTACAGTAACATTGAAGAATTGGCCAGGCGTGGTGGCACGCTTACAGTTACAGCTACTTGGAAGGCTGAGGCAGGAGGATTGCCTGAGCTTAGCAGTTCAAGGCTGCGGTAGCCATGAGTGTGCCACTGCACTCCAGCCTGGGTGACAGTGAGACTGACTCAAAAAAGAAAAAAAAAAGTGACTGAGATGGAATTTTGTACCAACATTGCTATTTCTCAGGAGAGAGGGCCAAGCATTGAGAAGACAAGAAGACCACCATCATCTTTGAAGGGCTCCACTCATTCTTCCTATTCCCTTGTCTTAGCATTTGAGACTTTTCAAGTTTTTAAAAGAAGTACCTGTGTAAAAACAATGTTGGAAGTAACACGGGAAAGAATACCAAACACCACATGTTCTCACTTATAAGTGGGAGCTAAACTAAGGTGTTGCAAAGGCATAGAGAATGGAGTAATGGACATTGGAGACCAAAGGGGAAGGTTGGGAGGTGGGTAGGGATGGGAAAAAAATCATCTATTGGGACCAGTTGTGCTGGCTCATGCCTGTAATCCCAGCACTTTGGGAGGCCGAGGTGGGAGGATCACTTGAGCCCAGGAGTTGAGATCAGTTTAGGAAACACTGTGAAACCTTGTCTACAAAAAAAAAATTAGCCAGGTGTGGTGGTGCAGCCTGTGGTTCCAGGTACTTGGGAGGCAGAAGGATTGCCTGAGCCCAGAAGGTGGAGGCTACAGTGAGCTGTGGTTGTGCCACTGCCCTCTAGCCTGAACGGCAAAGTGAGACTTTTGACTCAAAAAAAAAAAAAGAAAATCACCTATCGGGTACAATGCACACAGGTAAGGGTGGAAGGTACATTTAAAGCCTAGACATCTTCACCATTATATAATGCGTCCATGTAACCAAAAATCATTTGTACCCCCTAAAGTCACTGAAATAATTTGAAGGCCAGGCATGGTGGCTCAAGCCTGTAATCCCAGCACTTTGAGAGACCAAGGTAAGAGGATGCCCGGGGTCAGAGGTTCAAGACCAGCCTGGGAAACGGTGAGACCGCGTCTCTACAATAAATAAGCTGGGTGTGATTGTGCACACCCGTAGTTCCAGCTATTCAGAAGGCTGAAGTGGAAGGATCGCCTGAGCCCAGCAGGTCAAGGCTGCAGTTGCCATGGGCGTGCCACTGCACTCCAGCCTGGGGGACAGAGTGAGACTCCAACTCAAAAAAAAAAAAAAGAAAAATTTTAGGGGATCAAGTGTGGTGGCTCGCACCTGTAATCCCAGCCTTTTGGGAAGCTGAGGTAGGAGGACTGCTTGAGCCCAGGAGTTTGAGATAAACCTAGGCAACATAGTGAGACCTCATTTTCCAAAAATAAAAATTTGGGCTGGGCTCAGTGGCTCAGCCTATAACCCCACGCTTTGGGAGGCCGAGGTAAGTGGACTGCCTGAGCTCGCAGGTTCCAGACCCACCTGGGCAACTTGGTGAGACCTCATCTCTACAATAAATCAAAAAATTAGCTGGGCATGATGACACACGCCTGTAGTTCCAGCTACTTGGAAGGCTGAGGCGGAAGGATCGCCAGAGGCCAGCAGGTCAAGGCTGCGGTGGCTGGGAGCGTGCCACTGCACTCCAGCCTGGGTGACAGAGTGAGATTCCAACTCAAAAAATAATAATAAATAAATAAAATAAAAGTTTGTATAAAAGGTTGGATGTGGTGGCTCACACCTGTAATCCCAGCACTTTGGGAGGCAGAGGCGAGAGGATTGCTTGAGCCCAGGGGTTCAAGGCCTTGTCTCTACAGTACATCAAAAAATGAGCCAGGCTTGGTGGTGTGCCCCTGTAACTCCAACTACTTGGAAGACTGAAGCAGAAGGATTGCCTGAGCCCAGGAGGTCGAGGCCACAGTGGCCATGAGTGTGCCACTGCACTCCAGCCTGGGTGAGAGTGAGACTCCGGCTCAAAAAAAAAAAAAAAAAAAAAATAGTGTTGGAAATGAGGACAATGAGCAACATTAACATTTTATCCTGGGGACGGACAAGAGGAAGCTACCAGAGTCTGCTAGCTAAGAAGTTCAGTTCTAGGGGTGAAGAGATTTATGGTCTCTCCTCCCTCAGCTACTTTTGTAAAAAAAAAAAAAACACACACACAAGACCAAACAACATATTTTCCAGTTTTGTTTTTCCGTACTAAAAATATCTAGTGGGTGCTAGGAAAGAAAAGGAGAGACTGAGATGCTGACACCCCCTCTTGCGAATGAAGTGGCCATTACCTCTGGTTTCTGTCTATCTGGATAAGGAAAAAAAGAAAGAGGGTAAGTTACAACCACATCTATATTCATTTCCCTTTCTCACTTTATCTCTCACAAGCCCTTATCCCACCCCCCTCCCATTTTTGCTTTTTTTCTATTCATTAATGGTACTGGACACACAAAGAGAAAGACAAAAACAGAAACCAGCAACACAACCGAGTATACCCTTCCCCGCCTCCCCAAAGGTCCTGCCATCCCTGTCAGTTGAGACTACCTCATTGGGTCCACCAGAACCTTTGGCGAAGCTTGCTAACGCAAAGGACTGTGTGGCTGGGAAGGATCCCAGGACAGTTCTCCCAGATGGTGGTGCTTACGAGGATGGGCACTGGTGTCAAACCCAGTCTGTTTATTTATTTGAGTTGGAGGTCTCACTCTGTTGCCCAGACTGGAGTGCAGTGGCATGCTCATGGCTACTGCTGCCTCAGCCTGCCGGGCTCAGGCCATCCATCTCAGCCTTCCAAGTAGCCGGAACTACAGGTGCATGTCAAAACACCCGTCTAATTTTTAAATTTATTGTAGAGATGAGTCCTCACCAAGTTGCCCAGGATAGTCTCGAACCCCTGGGTTCAGGCAATCCTCTCGCCTTAGCCTCCCAAAGTGGTGGGATTACAGGTGTGAGACACCGTGCCCAGGTCAAACCCGGTTTAAATTTCACTTGTGGCTCTGTCTCTTCCTGGCTCTTCATCTGTAAAGTGGGGATAATAATACCTCATAGGGTTGTGAGGATTGGTTCAGGCATGAGCCAGATTGATCTGCTCATGGGGCACATAATAAGACCTCAAATATTGGCTGATGTTACTGTGAACCTGCATCAATGAGGTCAAAACTATTAATTGATCAGTATCCTCAGATTACTTATCTGTGCATCAACAAGTCTTTTTGGGCAACCCCTTTGGGTCCCCTCCACTGTGGGAGCTTTTCTGTCCTCTCAATAAAGCCTGCTTTCTCACTTAAAAAAAAAAAAAGACTTTTGAGTCAGGGTCTCATTCTGTTGATCAGGCTGGAGTGCAGTGGCACAATCACAGCTCACCATAGCCTCCAGTTCCTGGGCTCAAGTGATTCTCCTGCGTCAGCCTCCCGAGTAGCTGGGACTACAAGCATGAGCCACCACACCTGGTGGCTAATAATTTTTTTATTTTTTGTAGAGACAGTATCTCTCTACGTTACCCAGGCTGGTCTCAAACTTAAGCAATCCTCCCACCTCTGGGATTACCAAGTGCTGGGATAACAGGTGTGAGCCACCATATCTGGCCCAAGAAGTCTTTATGTATTTATAATCTTAACTATTTGATCAGGCCAGTCATGGTGGCTCATGCCTGTAATTTCAGCCCTTTGGGAGGCTGAGGCAGGAGGACCACTTAAGCCCATGACTTTGACACCAGCCTGGACAACATATCGAGATCCTGTCTTTATATATTCAAAAACAAGCAAAACTATTCAGTCAATAATCATCTAATGACCTTAAGATGTGTTGCCTGATAACCAGTAGTTGCTCAAGAAATAACAGGTGGGCTGGGTGTCGTGGCTTACGCCTGTAATCCCAGCACTTTGGGAGGTGGGGGTGAGTGGATTGCCTGAGCCATGGGTTTGAGACCAACCTGGGCAACATGGTAAGACCTCATCTCTAAGGAAAAGAAAAAAAGAAATAATAGGTGGAATCAACAGCTAACGATGTAACTAACCAACGCTTATTATGAATCAGTTACTAGGTAGGTCAGTAGTTCATGCCAGCACACTGGCTGGCTTAGCAACAGGATCTTTTGGATATCAGGACTTTTCAGATCCTTCAACAAAGACCCTGGCTCATCACCAAACACTTACTGGTTGCATCTCAGTGAACACTGAAGAGAGGCTATTCCAAATATCCTCCAGGCCAATCCGGACCTTTTGCCAAAAATCCAGGGCTGGGCTGGGGATTGGGGGCGGCAGACTGGGTCTGCGTCTGAGGTGGATGCTGGGGAAGGGGGTGGTGGTGGGACTGGTGGTGGCCGAGGTCTGAGAGGCGCAGTTGGTGTCAGGACAGAGGCCCGAGTCCAGGGGGCACTCTTCCCGAAGCCGGTCGCAGGGACACTGGTGGTAGGTGCAGGGCCGGTGCTCCCTGCGGAGCTGGCTCAGCGCGCCCACCCGAAGGCGCCCGGAGAGGCCCTGCAGCCGCCCAGACCGGCTCCGGCTCATGGTGCCCGACTTGCAGTGGCAGTGCCACGGGCCCCAGGGCAGCAGCACCAGCCGCAGATCCTCGGGAGGCGGCATGGCCGTGGGGGAGGAGGACGGCCCCGAGCTTGGCGCGGCCCCAGCCGTCGACCACTGGCTCAGGCTCGCCTCGGAGCCCGGCAGGTCCCGGGTGGACCTGGAGGTGGAGCGCAGCAGGTCAGAGGTCAGCCTGACTGCGGGCTCCTGGCTGTTGGCTGTGAACCTGGAGCCGAAACTGCCCGCCGCAGTGGGGGTCGCCACCCTGGCGTGACTCCTTCCGGCCTCAATCACAACGCCCTCTTCCAGAGACCCGTCCTCCTCGCTGCTCACAGACGCCCGGCCGGTGACCAAGGTGTAGGCCAGGAGCTCGGCGGCCGCGGGGCGGGCCAGGCGGTCGGCGTCGGCCATGGCGTCATTCTCGTCCTCCACGACGATCCTGGTCTCCCGGGGAAGACCGGTGCGGCCGCTGCGCCGGTAGCTGCCGGTCGTGGGGCCCCCGAAGCGGGAACTGAGCCGCTGCATCCCCGTGGGAGCCTGCGTCTGGCCTCGGGCCCCCGCCGCCGCCCGGGGCCCCAGACTCAGCAGCAGGGCCCAGAGCAGCGCGCCGGCGGCGGGGACCATGGGGCTGGGCGCTCGGGGCTGCGAGGGCGGCAGTGAGGGAGGCCCGGCCTCCTACCTTCACGCCCTCCCTTCCGCTCTGGCCCACCGGCTCGTTTGAACGGAGGCCGCGGGGCTGGGCGCGAGGCCCGCCGCGCGCGGACGCTCCCCGCCCCCACGCGCCGCTCCCGCCGCCCCAGGCCTGAGCCGAAGACCCGAGGAGCCTCTGCGAGAACCCGGGCCGGAACCGAAAGGCGGATGGTGATGTAAGGCGCCGGGGAGGCGGAATCGCAGAGCTTAAATCTCTCATTGCAGTTTATTAGCCGCTACAGATTGGAGTTTGCCAGAGGGCACAGGCACAGGCTCGCAAGCACGCCTTCCCAGGCTCGCAGGTGACACACTCCACCCGGAAGAGGGCACACCGCAGTTCTGCAGCATCCAGGGGGCTGCAGCGTCCCTGGTGCCCAGCAGGCAGGCTGGCTGTGGTCAGATGGGCCCGCCCCGCCCAAGGTGGGAAGGATCCCAGCCCCCCACTTCCAGAGGGGGAAGACCCCCAAGAGGCGGCGCTATTTGCCCAAGGTTCCACCCTTAAAGCGGGATTCACACCCAGAGCTCTGCGCTTCCCCTGCGGAATGCTACCACACAGCCTTTCACTCCCACCGCTGCAATGAAAGTCACCCAGCAGACCACGTTCCCAACCTCAAAGCCCTGCTGGAGGCAGGGTCATGGAAGGGATGGCATCCCACTGAGAAGTGGAGACCGGGGTCGAGGAGGTTGGGGGCAAGATGAGGTATAAAACAGTCAGAGGCCTGAGGAATGAGTTTGTAGGCAGGTCACTCTCTGCTGGGTTCTAAGGCCCTTTATCCAGTCCTGTGCTAGGTCCCTCCTGAGCCATGAAGATCCCGGTCCAGCCTAGGAGAGAGGTGGGGAGGAGAGAAGTGGTTCCCGGCAGGCCTTGGGTTTTCCTTACTACTTTGGGGAGAGAAGTCAGATGAACTGGAAGAGCTAGCAGATGGGGTACCTGAGTCATCAGTTAGCATCTCTACCCTGACACCCTCTCCCCACTGGATAGAATCTCCTATTCACTGCCGACATAGCTCTTCCTAGTTTCCAGGGCCGGTCTGAATCTCCTGTAACTCCTGTGCTGTGATTACTCCTTCATTCCTTGCTGCCTCCACACTTACATGTATAGTTTTTTTCATTTGTCCTTGTAGGATGCTGTAGTGTCCTTAACTTCTTCTCTGGGTGTGTGGAGTTTTCCCAGATACACTGAAGCATCTGAAAGCAGGGGAGGGCCTCTATCTTTTTAAATTTTTTTTTTTTAAGTCAGAGTCTCAACTCTGTCACCCAAGCTGGAAGGCAGTGGCACACTCAAGGTCACCACAGTCTCATCCTGGGCTCTGGAAATCCTTCCACCTCAGCCTTTCAAGTAGCTGGAGCTACAGGGGGACACCTCCATGCCTGGCTAATTTTTTTTTTTTTTTTGAGTTGTTACCCAGGCTGGAGGGCAGTGGTACGCTCATGGCCATCATAGTCTTAACCTGCTGGGTTCAGGTGATCTTTCCATCTCAGCCTTAAAAGTAGCTGGAACTACAGGCATGCGCCACCACACCCTGCTAATTTTTTGACTTGTTGTAGAGATGTCTCGCCAAGTTGCCCAGGCTGATCTCGAACCTATGGGCTCGGGCAATCTTCTCACCTTAGCCTCCCAAATTGCTGGGATTATAGGCATGAGCCACTGCACTCAGCCTTAATTTTTTTGATTTATTGTAAAGACAAGGTCTCGCCAAGTTGCCCAGGCTAGTCTTGAACCCCTGGACTCAGGCAACCCTCTCATCTCTGCCTCCCAAAGTGCTGGGATTACAGGCTTGAGCCACCATGCCTGGCTAGGACCTCTATCTTTGAGTTCCTTTGTCTATTCCCTGAGGCTTTAAGAAAGTGGGACTGGGTTTACACATTCCACCCCAAACCTTTAACCTTAAGCACAAGACTCACTGTCTGACAGCTTCAGGGATGTGGACCTGATCCAGGGAAATGAGCTGGGCCAGTTCCCCAAGGCTGTCCAGAAAACGGATCTTCCGTGTGAATTTGGAACTGAAAAGAGAGCATAAAGCAAGTGTGTTTTGTACAAGGAGGAGGGTTCCCAGAGACCCTTATGAAGGGAAGTGTAGCAAGTAGGAATGTTAAGACTAGAAAGAAGCAGGGTGGGGCAAGAGCTTAATCTTGATTTTGAAAATGAGGGGAAAGGGACTAGGGGGTCCTTGACCCCAGACCTAGTACCTGATGAAGGGCCGAAGCAGTGCCAGAAACGCCTTCACATACCACGTAGCGTGGACAACCACCAGGGCTCGCAGGTTTTTCCGGAGCCTGAAGAATATGAAATCATCTTATTTCCACCTTCATGCTTGAAGACCAGGTGGAGCTGTCTTCTTTACTGTAACTTCCTTTACTTCTCTGATTTCTAGATTTCTCTGGCAGTTGGGTCCAGTCTCCATTCTTTAGCCGTAATCTCAGCTCTGCCCATCTTATTTAGCCCCCACAGTCCGGTCCTCATTTTATTTTTATTTATTTATTTATTATTTTTTTATTTTTTGAGTTGGAGTCTCACTCTGTCACCCAGACTAGAGTGCGGTGGCCGATCCCGGCCACCGCAGCCTCGACCTGCTGGGCTCTGGTGATCCTTCCGCCTCAGCCTTCCAAGGAGCCGGAATTACAGGCGTGCGCTACCACACCCAGCTAATTTTTCTGATTTATTGTAGAGATGAGGTCTCGCCGCCCAGGCGGGTCTCGAACCCGCGGGCTCAGGCAATCCACTCACCTCAGCCTCCCAAAGGCGTGGGATTACAGGCTGAGCCACCAAGCCCGGCTCAGTCCTCATTTAAAAAAACTCGCCTTTCAGAAGCCCCCAGCCTGGTCTCTCCCCTCCTGCACCCTATCCTTGTGCAAGTTCCTCTTGCATACTTTTCCATCTCTCCATGGCCAGGACTATTTTATAAAAGTCCAGGTGGACACAAACCAGCATGGAAGAAAAAAGGAAAAGGGATGAGAAGAAAGAAAAGTGAGCAAAGAAAGATGGGGGGAGGGGAAGAAACCCAAAAGGAAAAAAGTCACATAGGTCAGGGATGCAGGCAGAGAAGATGACAGTGGAGATGGGGAAGGGAAAATAAATGGCTAGATGGGAGAAAAGGAAATATGCCTTCCATGAGCCAACCAATATGCCTCGTGATTTGCTTGATTTTCACAAATATCCAGTGGCAAAGGTATTATCACAGACATTTTACAGATAAAGAAGCTGAGGCCCAGAAAAGTTTAGGCAACTTGTCCCAAAGCATACACTAGTAAATGATAGCGGCAAGATTTGAAACTAGATTTTTCTAGCTGGTCACGGTGGCTCACGCTTGTCATTCCAGCACTTTGGGAGGAGGAGGCGAGATGATTGCCTGAGCCCAGGGGTTCGAGACCAGCCTGGGTAACAATAAATAAAAAAATTAGCCGGGCTTGGTGGCTCAGCCTGTAATCCCAGCGCTTTGGGAGGCTGAGGTGAGTGGATTGCCTGAGCCCCGGGGGTTCGAGACCTGCCTGGGCAACTTGGCGAGACCTCATCTCTACAATAAATCAAAAAATTAGCCGGGTGTGGTAGCGCACGCCTGTAGTTCAAGCTACTTGGAAGGCTGAGTGCACTCCAGTCTGAGTGACAGAGTGAGACTCCAACCCAAATAAATAAATAAATAAATAAGCCAGGCATGGTAGCACATGCCTATAGTTCTAGCTACTTGGAAAGCTGAGGCAGAAGGATCACCTGAGCCCAGCAGGTCGAGGCTGTAGTGACCATGAGCATGCCACTACACTCCAGCCTGGGTGACAGAGCAAGACTGACTCAAAAATAAATAAATATTTTTAAAAATGAAACTAGGGCAACCCTCTTGGGTTCCCTACCCCTGTGGGAGCTTTTCTGTCTTCTCAATAAATCCTGCTTTCTCATACACAAAAAAAGAAACTAGATTTCCCTGACTCCAAGAGAGGGCAGAGGCCGGGCTCAGTGGCTCAGCCTGCAATCCCAGCACTTTGGGAGGCTGAGGCGAGTGGATTGTTTGAGCCCACAGGTTCGAGACCAGCCTGGGCAACTTGGTGATACCTCATCTCTACAATAAATAAAAATTAGACAGGCTCGGTGGCTCAGCCTGTAATCCCATGCTTGGGAGACTGAGGTGAGTGGACCGCCTGAGCCCGTGAGTTCGAGACCCACCTGGGCAACTTGGCGAGACCTCATCTCTACAATAAACCAAAAATTAGCTGGGAGTGGTAGTGCACGCCTGTAGTTCCAGCTACTCGGAAGGCTGAAGCGGAAGGATCGCCGGAGCCCAGCAGGTCGAGGCTGCGGTGGCCGGGAGGGGCCACTGCACTTTAGTCTGGGCGACAGAGCGAGACTCCAATTCAAAAAAAAAAAAAAAAATTAGCCGGGTGTGGTAGTGCACCTGTAGTTCTGGCTACTTGGAAGGCTGAGATGGAAGGATCACCGGAGTCCAGCAGGTCGACGCTGGGGTGGCCATGAGCGTGCCATTGCACTCCAGCCTGGGCAACAAAGTGAGACTCCAACTACAAAAAAAAAAAAAATAGAAGCCGGGCTCGGTGGCTCAGCTTGTAATCCCGCACTTGGGAGACTGAGGTGAGTGGATTGCCTGAGCCTGCGGGTTCGAGACCCACCTGGGCAGGCGAGACCTCATCTCTACAATAAATCAAAAAATCAGCCTGGCGTGGTAGCGCACATCTGTAGTTCCGGCTACTTGGAAGGCTGAGGCGGAAGGATCGCTGGAGCCCAGCAGGTCGAGGCTGCGGTGGCCGGGAGCGGCCACGGCACTTCAGTCTGGGCGACAGAGTAAGACTCCAACTCAAAAAAAAAAAAAGAGAGAGAGAGGGCAGAAGACAGAAAACACTTGGAAAGTGCTGTAGAGTGACAAAGAAGAGAGCAAAGAGGAGGGGACTAAATGGATGAAGAAAGAATGGAGAGAAAAAAAGAAGAGATAGTTGCAGGCTTGTTGTCCCAAGTTCTCACCGCCGATCCAGAGTGCGGTAACACTGGCGTATCCAGCTCAGAGGCGGGACTTGGGCCCTGCTTGTGCCTCCACTCAAATGAACAAGCAGGTAGTTTTCAGCCACCAGCAGCTCCAGAGTTCCCACCATATACCTGAGGGGTGAAATTGCAAGGAAGGTGCGAGCTAGGGGCTGTAGGGAGTGAGGGGGACATTCCTGTAGTCTCTCCAGTCAGCTCCTTATCTTGGAAGTTTCTTTTTCATTTTTCCCTAACACCCTCCCTATAGCCTTTCAGGGCTCCACCTCACCTAAACAAGTGTTCCATGACGTAGGAGTAGTTGGGGATGCTGCTTCTAGGTAGGTAACAGGAAGCAAAGAGGATGACAGCATTGAGGCCATCACCATGGTAACCTGGGGAGGATAAGGGGAAAATTCACTCAGTCAACAAATATGTATTAATGGACAGTACACCTGTTTAAGTTGAGGGTCTCTGGAGTTATGGGAAGACTTTTGCCAGGTTTTGTTTTGTTTTTTGAGTTGTAGTTTCACTTTGTCACCCAAGCTGGAGTGCAGTGGAACGAATCATGGCTCACTGCAGCCGTGAACTCCAGGGCTCGAGGCGATCCTTTTGCCTCAGCCTCCCAAGTAGCTGGGACTACAGGTGTGTGCCACCACAACTTGCTAATTTTTTAATTTTTTGTAGAGATATCTATCGTTTTGCTATGTTGCCCAGGCTGGTCTCAAACTCCTAGGCTCAAGCGATTCCTCCACCTTGATCTTTCAAAGTGCTAGGATTATAGGCATGAGCTACTATGTCCGGCCTTTATAGGAAGGATTTATTTTATTTTATTTTTTTTAGTTGGAGTCTCACTCTGTTGCCCAGACTGGAGTGCAGTGGCACACTCCTGAACACCATAGCCTCGACCTGCTGGACTCCGGCGATCCTTTGGCCTCAGCCTTCCACGTAGCCAGAACTACAGGCGCGCACTACCACGCAGGCTAATTTTTGATTTATTGTAGAGATGAGGTCTCGCCAAGTTGCCCAGATGGGTCTCGAACCCGAAGGCTCAGGCAATCCACTCACCTCGGCCTCCCAAAGTATTGGGATTACAGGCTGAGGCACCAAGCCCAGCCTATAGGAAGGATTTTGAACCCAATCAATAGCTGAGTCCCTGGCTTAGTAATTTTATTTAAGAAGTCAAAGTTTTTACCCCTCCACTTATACTATCCATTACCTCCATGAGACAACACTTTCTTATAGGGCTCAATGACAGTCATGTCCACTCGCTGCTCCCACGGTCCTGTTCGGAACACCCGCCAACGATGTCCATCTTCTCCAGCCACATCCCACATACAGCCTCGGCCTAGCCTGTCAGCAGCCTCAGTGGCGCCCAGACCCTCTGCCCGGGGCAGCTCATCTGAAGAGAGGGATGGTGAAGGATCAACAAGACACATTTCCTGTCTTCAGTTTCTTGCAACTCCCCCAGAGTCCTAGGGTTTAGTACTCCAATCTCCCATTCCTCAATTTTTTCCTTGACCCTTCCTTAAGCCCTAGTCTGGCCAGCCAACCCGATCTCTTGTTGGTTTCTCCTGTGACTCATTGTCCTCACCTTTTCACTAGATAATGGCCTTGGGGTACCTTGTATTAAGTCCTTGCCAGTGTCAGTGTTTCTTAAGATTCTCTATTTTCTTTTCTCTTTTTTTGAGTTGGGGTCTCACTCTGTCACCCAGGCTGGAGTACAGTGGCACAATCACAGCTCAATGTAGCCTCAACCTCCTGGGCTCAGGAATTCTTCCATCTCGGCCTCCCAAGTAGCGTGTGCCTTCACACACGACTAATTTATTTTTTGTTTATTTTTTAGTTGGAGTCTCACTGTGGCCTAGGTTGGAGTGCAGTGGCATACTGCTCACAGCCACAGCAGCCTCGACCTGTTGGGCTCAGACGATCCTTCCGCCTCAGCCTTCCAAGTAGTTGGAACTACAGGTGCATACCACCACACCTGGCCAATTTATTATAGAGTCGAGGTCTCGCCAAGTTTCCCAGGCTGGTCTCGAGCCCTGGGCTCAGGCAATCCTCTCGCCTCCTCCTCCCAAAGTGCCACAGGTGTGAGCCACCATGTCTGGCTTATTTTTTATTTTTATAGAGATGAAGTCTCACTATGTTGTCTAGATTGGTCTTGAACTCCCGGGCTGAAGCAATCCTCCCACGTTGGCCTCCCAAAGTGCTGATATTGCAGGCATGAGTCACCATGCCCGGCTCTATTTCCTCCTTTACGTGACTTTCTCCAGGTAAGCTCACCTCTTCTCATGTCTTCAGTTACCACCAGTAGGGTGATGACTCCCGCATTTGTCTCTCTAACCAGACTTCCATTCGAACTCCAGATTCATATCCCTACATACCTAGAGTGAACATCTGTACTTTGTGTCTCCCTGTCACCAAGTCACCAGATCCTAAATGGAACTCAGTCATTGTCATCTGATTCTCCCTCATATTACCAATCTTGATGAATAACCCCAATCCGCCTAGCTGCCTGAGAGAAAACTGCTTGTCACCTGAAACTCTTTCTTGTCATCTCTCAAATCAGTTGGACCTGGGATCATCTCCTGTCTATCTCTGTTATATTCTTTTATTTTTTTTTGAGTCAGAGTCTCACTCTGTCACCCAGGTTGCAGTGCAGTGGTATGCTCATGGCCACCATAGCCTCAACCTGCTGGGCTCAGGTGATCCTTCTGCCTCGGCCTTCCAGATTCTGACTAATTTTTAAAATTTATTGTAGAGATGAAGTCTCCCCATGTTGCCCAGACTGGTCTCAAACCCATGGACTCAGGCAATCCTCTTGCCTCCTCCTCCCAAAGTGCTGGGAATACAGGCATGAACCACTGCGCCCGGTCTACTGACGGATTTTTAGGTTGTCTCCAGTCTTTTCAGAGTCATTAAATTTGATCAAGTTGCCAGGCTTGGTGGCTCAACCTGTAATCCCAGTGCTTTGGGAGGCTGAGGTGAGTGGATTGCCTGAGCCCGCGGGTTTGAGACCTGCCTGGACAACTTGGGGAGACCTCATCTCTACAGTAAATTAAAAAAATTAGCTGGGCATGGTAGTGCGTGCCTGTAGTTTCAGCTACTTGGAAGGCTGAGGCAGAAGGATCGCTGGAGCCCAGCAGGTCGAGGCTGCAGTGGCCGGGAGCATGCCACTGTACTCCATTCAGGACGACAGAGTAAGACTCCAACTCAAAAAAAAAAATGTGATCAAGTTATTCCCTTGATTAAAATCTCCCATGACTCCCCACTGCCTGCTGGAGAAAACGTAAACTCCCCAGGACAGCAAGGGCCTCCAGGATTTGACCTTTGCCTACTTGACCGGCATTAATTTTTTGTTTTGTTTTGTTTTAGAGTCTCACTCTGTTGCCTAGGCTGCAGTGGCACACTCTCAGTCACTGCAGCCTCGACCTCCTGGGGTCAGGCAATCCTTCCGCCTCAGTCTTCCAAGTAGTCACCATACCCGGCTAATTTTTTGACTTATTGTGGAGACAAGGTCCACAAAGTGCTGGGATTACAGGTATGAGCCACTGTGGCCAGCTACCCAGCACTATCTTTTGTCATTCTCTCTTCACCTCCCAGTCCTTCATACTTAAAGAGTCATGCTTCATACTTTGAAGTCCCCAGACTACCATGCTACTGCTTAAGTTGCTTCTTCCATCTGGAATGCCCCGTCTCCAACCCCCTGATACTCATCAGCTTCAGTTTTCGACAGTCAGCTCAGAATTACCTCCTCTGTGAAGTCTTTCCTAACCTCTCTCCAGCAGAACTGACCATTTCCTTCTTCCTGTATACACTGTACCCTATACACATGTAGATCAGAACTGTTCATGGCAACCATCTGTATATATAAACAGGGAATTCCAGGGGAGGTAGGGGTTGGGATTGGCAGTAGTGGGAAACTGCCAGGGAAGTGGGGGAGGCTCACCTCATCAACAAGGGTAACTGCATAATGAACATTTGTATACTTAACCCTGAATTGTACCCCATATCTTTAAAAAAAACAACAACAGGGAATTCCTTGAAGGTAGGGCCTTTCTTTCATCTTTATAACCCCAGTTGTAGTTCAATGACAGCTTCTAACAGACGGCAGTAAAGTTTTCCTTAATAAACAGAGGACCCAGCCGGGTTCGGTGGCTCAGCCTATAATCCCGCGCCTTTGGGAGGCTGAGGTGAGTGGATTGCCTGAGCCCGCGGGTTTGAGACCTGCCTGGACAACTTGGGGAGACCTCATCTCTACAGTAAATTAAAAAAATTAGCTGGGCATGGTAGTGCGTGCCTGTAGTTTCAGCTACTTGGAAGGCTGAGGCGGAAGGATCACCGGAGCCCAGCAGGTCGAGGCTGTGGTGACCGGGAGTGGCCACTGCACTACAGGCTGGGCAAAAGAGTGAGACTCCAACTCAAAAAAGAAAAATAAACAAAAAAAATAAAAAAATAAACAGAGGACCCAGCCAGGCACAGTGGCTCATGCCTATAATCCCAGTGCTCTCAGAGGTGAAGCTGAGAGGATTGCCTGAACCCAGGGGTCTGAGACCAGCCTGGGCATCATGGCAAGACCTCATCTCTATAATAAATCAAAAAATCAGCCGGGCATGGTGGTACATGCCTGTACTTCCAGATACTTGCAAGGCTAGGGTGGAAGGATTGCCTGAGACCAGCATGTTAAAGTTGCAGTGAGGCCGGGCTCGGTGGCTCAGCCTGTAATCCCAGCACTTTGGGAGGCCAAGGTGAGTGGATTGCCTCAGCCCATGGGTTCGAGACCTGCCTGGGCAGCGAGACCTCATCTCTACAATAAATCAAAAAATCAGCCAGGCGTGGTAGTGCACACCTGTAGTTCCAGCTACTTGGAAGGCTGAGGCGGAAGGATCGCCGGAGCCCAGCAGGTCGAAGCTGCGGTGACTGGGAGCGGCCACTGCACTCCAGTCTCAGCGACAGAGTGAGACTTCAACTCAAAAAAAAAAAAAAAAAGTCACAGTGGCCATGAGTGTGCCACAGCACTCCAGCCTAGAAGACAGAGTGAGAAGTCTGACTCAAAAAAAAAAGTCCAAAGCCGGGCTCGGTGGCTCAGCCTGTAATCCCGTACCTTTGGGAGACTGAGGTGAGTGGATTGCTTGAGCCGGCGGGTTCGAGACCCGCTTGGGCAGCGAGACCTCGTCTCTACAATAAATCAAAAAATCAGCCGGGCGTGGTAGCGCACGCCTGTAATTCCGGCTACTCGGAAGGCTGTGGAGGAAGGATCGCCGGAGCCCAGCAGGTCGAGGCTCCAGTCTGGGCGACAGAGTGAAACTCCAACTCAAAAAAAAAAAAAAGTCCAGGTGCAGTGGCTTACTTTGGGAGATAGATGAGAGGATTTCCTGAGCTCAGGTGTTCAAGACGAGCCTGAGCAACATGATTAGACCTCATCTCTACAATAAATCAGAATAAAAAATAAAATAAAACAATTTAAAAAAGAGAACCCTCCCCCTTCTGCACGACTACTCTCACATGGGCCTGCTTTTTCCTTCCTAGGAGATCAGTGTGGCTGGCCTCATCTGTTGGCCCCCACCCTATTAGTGCCAACTTCCGTCCTATTAAATCCATCCTGAGGTTCTTTCAACACTAGCCTCTCCTACCAGCTCTGGATCCTCAGGTGTGTTTCCCACCTTCCCATTCAAATTCATGTCCACTGTCCAGCTGCTCCGAGTCTGATGGCGTCTCCAACTCGTCTACCTCCAGGTCAGAACTGCCATCAGGAGAGGAAGGTGCAGAGTGGGTGGGAGAAGCTCCGTGATCCCCAGGCCCCTCTGTCAGTCTCAGCCGCAACTCGGGGGCAGAAAGACGCTTCCGCATGGGGCGCTGACTGCACAGGGCTGAAGTGCCAGGCGCACCTGGGGTAGGAGAGGCGGGGAAGAGAACCAAGGGGGAAGCGTGTTGGGAAGGATTTTAGAATTCCTATATGTGGAAGTGGTAACAGGGGGTGAACTCCGCAGAAGGACTGACACAAGGACACTGAGGAAAGGGGGAATCGAAACTGCAAAGCGATGAGGAGACAAAGCCCCTCACTGGACTAGAATGAGGACTTTGGAGCCTGGTTGCTACTTTACTTGTGGCTGCCTGTGAATCTCCCTCGGGGCCTTCAGAAGGTCCAGCCTCCTCTGGAAGCAATCTAGAGGAGAGCAGATTGAAAGTCACAGAGGTCTACGCTAAACGCATCAAGCCAGGCATCCCGGATAGTTTCTCTCTCCGCCCATGATTCCATCACCTCTGCTTGCGTTTTCCCACCTCTTTCCTCCAATCCTGGTTCGCCATCCCTGCCCTCCGTGTGACCATCCCTCCCTTCTCCCAGCTGCCCTCGCGCCCTCTCACATGGGGAATTCTTCATCCTGCCACTCCTCCTTCAGCTCCAGTTCCCCAAGTCTCAGGGCTGCTCCTAGTTCTGTTGCTTCTGCATTCTCCCTGACCCTAAGACAGACCCCAGAAGACAAGATAAGGGGACCGAAGTTTAGGTAGGAGGCTTTGGAATGAAGAACAGTGACTCCGGCATAGAGCAGAGGTAAAGATCTTTGGCCTCCTCCGCAAATGTTTTTCCCATTTGCTCGCAGCAGGTGACCTACTGCTGGGTTTGCAAGCAGAGAGATGGAATGTAAAGCAAATCAGATTTACCTTTACAGCAGTTGCTCCACCTACAAAGTAGGGGTGAGCAATGACCCACGTTCCAATTGGCTGGAATCGAGACAGACACACCCAACTATCGCTGGGCAGAGTATGGGAAGATGGCACCCTGTCAGGTCTGCCTTTCCTCCACCAGGCCAGGGAGTGGCTAGGGGAAAATATAGCAGGGTGGAGGTGGAGAAGAAGGCAAGGAGAAAGAGATTTGCTGCGAAGGAGAATCTGGACCTCAACTCCATTCTGGGTCAGCTTTCCTGATTGCCATTCTGGAAGGTGAGGGTTAGGACATAAAGAACACAGACGGGCAGAGGCAGCAGACACTCTTGCTGTTGTTCTGCTCATTGTACCTTTCACGATGTATCTTTCTTTTAATAAACCTACCCTTCCTAATTAAAAAACAAGAACAAAAACAAAAAAGAATATGGGCAGATTTATTAGATACAAAATATAGAAACTTCCTTGATTTTTCAACCAAATAGGGAATCCATTTCCCAGCTTCATCCCATCCTGACATTTCCTGCCTCAAGCCATCTCTATGCCTTCTCTGCAAATCACTTATTTCATAGTCTCTTCTCCTTAAGGAATCCTTGAGATTTGAGACCTCAAGACTATTCACTCCCTGCCTCCCATCAAGTGAGCCAAGATCTTACTTACCCAAGATCTAATGTCTTTTTTTCTGCCTCTTGGGTAGTTCCCATCTTCCCAAGTCTTCCCGTCTCCTGTCTCCTTCTTCAAACACTTGGAGTTGCTGGGAAGCTGGCTGTCCCAGCCCCCGTCTTTACCTTTTTCCTGTCTCAGCTGGTGTTGCTCTCGCCTCCAAGAGAAGAGGTGCGGTAGGGCGAGGGCAGGAACCACATCTTCAAACAGGTTTTGCCACCTCCTCTCCCAAGAAGCAAGCTTGCCCAAAAGAAAAACTCTGCCTCCCGTAAGAGGGCGGGCTTCAGGGAGGAGGGTGCATTTCCTAGGGTGGCTGGTCTTGAGTGAGTCTAGGAAGGCGATTTGTTCTTTCCAGACTCCTTATAACCTTCTCAAAAAAGTAACCATTTTGGTTGTGAGACTCTTATCTTGAGCCTACTTTTTTTTTTTTTGAGTCAGAGTCTCACTCTGTCACCCAGGCTGGATCTGTCACCCAGGCTGGAGTGCAGTGACACGCTCATGGCCACTGCAGCCTCAACCTATTGGCCTGAAGGGATCCTTCCGCCTCAGCTTTCCAAGTAGCTGGAACTACAAATGCATGCCACCACACCCAGCTAATTTGATTTATTGTAGAGACGAGGCCTCACCAAGTTGTCCAGGCTGGTCTCAAACTCCTGGACTCAGGCAATCCTCTTGCCTTCGCCTTCCAAAGTGCTGGGATTACAGGTGTGAGCCACCATGCCCAGCCTCTTGGGCCTACTTTTCAAGAATAAGCAAAACTGGGGAAATGGAAGTATGTTTTCAGGAGGGTTCTGGGAGAATAAACAGATTAAAGGAAAGGCTAAAGATGATGGGAGATGGAGCTTGATGCTCCTTATTCCCAAAAAGAGGTGACAGAAGGAAGACACTGAGTATAGCAGGAAGAAAGGAGATGGATCCTTAGGCAGCTGAAACAATGATCCAAGGGAAAGATCTAATTATAGTTGTAAAAAAGGGCAATAAGACCACAAACAGGAAAAAAGTATTTAATACCTTAACAAAATGCAAAATAAAGTACCCAAGTTACAAAACATAAATTCCTTTGGTTCAGTGATCACACTACTATTTTCCCCTTCCAAATGGCTACAGATATCATACCTTCAAAGAAGTCAGACTCTCCCCCTCATAATGGAAGATGTCATGCCAAGACCATCACATACCCCACTGTTCTGAGAAATTGTTGGCAACTTATGTGGAATAGAACTGTGGGGCAGGAAAGGGGGAACGGGCTGGGCTGAAGAAAAAAGGAACAATCTACACATGCAGAACAAGTCAATGGGAAGGAGCTCTCTGCGGGGTCACTATAGTATGAATCACACCCCTCTACATGCTACATGAGGCTGAGTCCCTTGGTACAATCACACATAAATACAGACAATCCAGTGACCCTGAGCATTCCCAGGGAAAACAGAAGAAAATACAGAGAAGCACAGGAAAGAAAGAATGGCAGCAAGAGGCAGATGACAGAAGATACCAGGGAACATCTTGTCCAAACCCTGTTTTACAGGTGGGGAAACTCAGACCTAGAGTAGTGAATGTCTTGCCAAAAGACACACCGTTTATGGCAGTATTAGAACTCCATGCTTCCTCGGAACATGAACAAGAAGAGAAAGAGATGGACAAGAAATGGATAGATCTGCTAAGGCAGGGGACGGGCTCAGGGCCCTCATTCCAGTTCTGCTGTCCGTCGGGAGGATGCCTTTGTGGCTTTGCCCTCCTGGTGCCTCCTCAACTCTCGAGAACCCGGGTTCTTTGGGGTCTCTTCAGGGTTCCTGTGGCTCTCGCACAGAGAGATTCAGAGGAATGGCGAGTCAGGCTACCTGATCAGGACGGAAGATAATGGCCTCCAATCTGCTCCCCAACAAGACCTGAAGCAGTCACCATAAGCCCAGAAAAGAAATTCAGCCACCTCTGAATCACATGCCATCACCTTGCTGGGGGCAGAAAGAAGAGTCACAGAGCTGGAAATCTGCTGAGGGCTGAAATGGGAACACATTTCCAAAGCACACACTCTTTTCCATCTAGCTTGAAGCAGGTATTTGATAAATACCTGAAGGAATACGTGGATAAGTGAACACATGGAGACAATCGAAATGTGTGGATCCATGGCAGATCCTGGTTCTGTCCAAGATCCTTACTGAGGGCACTTTTGGGGTCTACATTCTTTCTGTCCCACTCTGCTGGGATTGTGGATGTATCACATCGTGCCCCTGGCAAATGAAATTAAGAGAAGTCAGTGCAGATTTAAATAATAAAATGTGTCTGATTGGTAGAGATTGAGGGGAAAGGTAGAAAGCCATTCTTAAAGCAGCTGCTTTCTCCTACTTCTTTTTCCTCCCAGTTTTATGAGAACTGTATACCAGATCCTGGAGCAATGAAGACAGAATTGCTGAATCTCCAGACATCTCAAAACATGCATTTGAGGTGAGTAAAATAACCTCAACCACTACCCTCTCCCCTTCCCATGGTCACTTCTTTGACAGGGAGGCAGTGGTAGACTGTGACAGCGAGATCTGACTGCACTTCTCAAAGACAGCCTCGGCAGAGAGTTTAGGCAGCCCCTGGTCCAGAGGGCACTCATCCACCAAGCTATTCATGGGCGTGGGGGGCAGAGGAGGGTCCTCTTCATCTTGGCTCAGTCCAGAAATCAGGGAGTTACTTGCCCTGTCCGATTCCTTGTCCGCCTGTTCCTTGGACATACCCACTATCTCGGGCTGTCCTGAAGGGATCTTCATGGAGTCAAAATAGGCTGACAGGGCTTCCTGGAGCAGAGGCAGAAGTTTCTTTCGAGAGATCTGGGTGTTGCCTTGATGATAGGCTTGGAGGTTAGGATGGGTGCTTGGGAGCGGGGTCAGCTTTAGGGACGGAGAATGGGAGTGTTCCAAGACTCCGCAGATCTAAAGAAGAGACAATAATGTGGAAATGATACATATTTTGGTATAGCAAAGAGCAGAGGCTCCTAAGTGACAGGCTTCCTTGATAAAGGAGAAAACTTTTAAAAATTAAGTATTCTGGCTGGGTGAAGTGATTCACGCCTATAATCCCAGCACTTTGGGAGGCCAAGGAGAGAGGATTGCCTGAGCCCACAGGTTTGAGACCAGCCTGGGCAACTTGGCGGGAGTTTGTCTCTACGATAAATCAAAAAATTAGCCAGGCATGGTGGTGCATGCCTGTAGTTCCAGCTACTTGAAAGGCTGAGGCGGAAGGAACACCTGAGCCCAGCAGGTCAAGGCTGCTGTGGCCAGGAGCATCACTGTACTCCAGCCTGAGTGACAGAATGAGACTCTGACTCAAAAAAAATAAAAAATTAAGTAATCAGCCAGGTGCAGTGGCTCATGCCTGTAGTCCCAGCATGTTGGGAGATGGAGGTGAGAGGATTGCCTGAGCCCAAAGATCTTTCCACCTCAGCCTTCCAAGTAGCTGGAACCACAGGCATGCACCACCATGCCTGGCTAATTTTATTTATTTATTGTAGAAATGAGGTCTCACCAAGTTGCCCAGGCTGGTCTTGAACCCCTGGTCTCACGCAATCCTCTTGCCTTCGCCTCCCAAAGTGCTAGGATTACAGGCGTGAGCCACTGTGCCTGGCCTTAAGGTCATAATTTACATGAAGCAAACCTGACATTTGAACACAGATTTGTTACCAAGGCCAATGTTCTAACTCAGCATGATATATGGCCTCCCATGGGAGGAAAAAAGGAGATGGCAGGACACAGAGTAAAGAGAACTCCTACTTCCCAGCATCGAGGCAGCCTGGGCAACAGCAGAGTCGTCAGATACACACATATCTTCAAAAGAGCAGCACACATGGGACGAGACTCAGGAAGGTGAGAGAGGCACTTTTTATGGTCAAAGTACCCTTTTCATGACAGGAGTAGTCAGAGCCGCTATGTAGTAAGTGCTTGCTCTGTTTCCAGAAATTTTCTACGTGCAATTTTTTTTTTTGAGTTAGAGTCTCACTCTTGTCTCCCAGGCTGGAGTGCAGTGGCATTCTCATGGCCACCGCAGCCTTGACCTGCTGATATCAGGCAACTCTTTCACCTCAGCCTTCCAAGTATCTGAAACTACGGATGCACACCACCACGCCTGGCTAGTTTTTCTGATTTATTGTAGAGACAAGGTCTCACCAAGTTGCTGAGGCTGGTCTTGAACCCCCAGGCTCAGGCAATTCTCTCGCTTTAGCCTCTCAAAGTGCTAGGATTACAGGCTGAGCCACTGTGCTCAGCCTACATGTGATTTTTTTTTTTTTTTTGAGTTGAAGTTTCACTCTGTCAGACTGGAGTGCAGTGGCATGCTCCCAGTCACCGCAGCCTCGACCTGCTGGGCTCCGGTGAGCCATCTGCCTCAGCCGTGCAAGTAGCTGGAACTACAGGCGCACGCTACCATGCCCGGCTAATTTTTGATTAATTGTAGAGATGAGGTCTCACCAAGTTGCCCAGGTAGGTCTTGAACCCGCGGGCTCAGGCAATCCACTTATCTCAGTCTCTCAAAGCATGGGATTACAGGCTGAGCCATCGAGCCCGGCTCCTACATGTGATATTACATTTAATGGTCATATCAGACTAACCAGTAGGCACTATTATGCCACGTCCAGACACAGAAGTCCACTGACTTGCCTGAGCTCACAGAACAAATACATATGGGTAACCTGGAACAGAAAAGCATCACCTGCCCGACTTTGAAAACTGTAGTTCTGGCCGGGCTCGGTAGCTCAGCCCGTAATCCCAGCACTCTGGGAGGCCGAGGTGAGTGGATTGCCTGAGCCCGCGGGTTCGAGACACGCCTGGGCAACTTGGTGAGACCTCATCTCTACAATAAATCAAAAATTAGCCAGGCGTGGTAGCGCGCGCCTGTAGTTTCAGCTACTTGCAAGGCTGAGGGGGAAGGATTGCCAGAGCCCAGCAGGTTGAGGCTGCAGTGGCCAGGAGTGGCTACTGAAATCCAATCTGAGTGACAGAGTGAGACGCCAACTCAAAAAAAAAAAAAAAAGAAAGAAAGAAAACTGTAGTTCTTCTCAGCCAGGTGCAGTGGCTCATGGCTGTAATCCCAGGACTTTGGGAAGCAGAGGCAAGTGGATTGCCTGAGTCCAGGGGTTTGAAACCAGCCTGGGCAACTTGACGAGACCTCGTCTCTACAATAAATCCAAAAAAGTTAGCTGGGCGTGGTGGTACGTGCCTGCAATTCTAGCTACTTGGAAGGCTGAGGTGGAAGAATTGCCTGAGCTCAGCAGATAAAGACTGCAGTGGCCATGAGCATGCTATTGCACTCTAGCCTGGGTGACAGAGCGAGATTCTTACTAAAATAAAAAATAAAAAAATAAAAACTCCACACAAAAACAAAAAACTGTAGCTCTTTTCACAGTACCAAACTATCTTACACCAAATGAAGTAACACTTGCTTCCCATGGGAGAAGACAATGGCGAAGACAGGTGGGAGAGGGCACACGAACCTTTTATGAGTGCAAAGGGTTATCAGGCTGTATTCAGTCTTTAGCAGTCCTCACATAGCTCAAGCAACCCTAGAAATCCCTGGACTGCCTTAAGCCTGCTTTAAAAATTCTTCCCTAAGCAAATCAGTAACTAACAAAGGAAAGGAAAGAGAGGAAGTAGGAAAGATGGCCAAATGGAAGCTCAGGAAAGAAAACAAACTAAGTCGTAGATCACTTACCTGCAGATTTTGTACTAAACAGAATAATTAATTCTGGCATCAAAAGTAGTAGAAAAGCTCTCTCCTGCGTTTCTAATTTTCAAGGCAATAGAGTAAAAAGAAAGAAACTGATTTGCAGGGGTGAGGAATTAATGATTATATCAAGAATAGAGCCTTTTTTTTTTTGCTATGTTGCCCAGACTGGACTCGAACTCCTGGGTTCAAGTGATCTTCCACCTCAGCTTCCCAAGTAGCTGGGATTACAGGTGTGTGCCACTGTGTCCACTCAATAATTCAACTACAGATTTATTTACTTATTTATTTATTTTTTTGAGTAAGAGTCTCACTCTGTCACCTAGGCTGGAGTGCAGTGGTACGCTCACGGAAACTGCAGCCTCGACCTGCTGGGCCTAGGCAATTCTTGCGCCTTAGCCTTCCAAGTAGCTGGAACTACAGGTATGTGCTGCCACGCCCAGCTAAGTTTTTGATTTATTGTAGAGATGAGGTCTTGAAAAATTCCCCAGACTGGTCTCGAACTCAGGTAATCCTCTTACCTTGGCCTCCCAAAATGTAGAAATTATAGACGAGAGCCACCACTCCTGGCCTTGATTTATTGTAGAGATGAGGGCTCTTCATGTTGCTCAGGATAGTCTCAAACCCATGGGCTCAGGCAATCCTCTCGCCTTGGGCTCCCAAAGTGCTGGGATTACAGGCGTGAGCCACAGTGTTCGACTAACATTTATAACATTTCCTTTTAAGTTTCTTTCAAGTTCCTTCAAAGTAAGCAATGAATCTCTTTGGAATTCCTCTTTCTCAACAATAGTATAGTTAAGGATATTCATATAAGCCTGGCTCGGTGGCTCAGCCTGTAATCCCGTGCTTGGGAGGCTGAGGTGAGTGGATTGCCTGAGCCCGCGGGTTTGAGACCCACCTGGGCAACTTGGCAAGACCTCATCTCTACAATAAATCAAAAATTAGCCGAGCGTGCGCCTGTAGTTCCAGCTACTTGCAAGGCGAGGCAGAAGGATCACCGGAGCCCAGCAGGTCGAGGCTGTGGTGGCCGGGAGCGGCCACCGCACTCCAGTCTGGGCGACAGAGCGAGACTCCAACACACACACACACACACACACACACACACACACACACACACAAGAATATTCATATAGAGAGAGAATGGAAAAAAAGCAGCAAGGAGAGATTCTGGGAACAGGTCAAGGGACGTCTGTGTAATTATGTTTGTATATGAACCAAAGCGATGCCCTTACAGCATAGAGCTGTGGTGAACATAGGCAAGCTCTGCAGGTCCTCAGGTTGGAGAAGGGACAGACTCACCGTCATTCGAAGTGCCACATGGGGACAGAAAATAGCCAACTGCCGCACTGGCTCATTATGAGTGTTGAAAAAGATAGTCATGGCAACCAGGACATCATAGTTGTGAGCCTGGCAAAAAGCATGAAGGTCTGCAAGGAGGTCAGACCTCTGCAGAAAGACCTGAAAGGGAAGAAATGGAGAGGGGTAAGGGCTACAGCAGGATCCTCCTTGTCGTCTTCAACAAAACAACCTAACAAAGGTTTATTTGCAAGTTAACCCAGAACCTGAGGGCCATAAAAAAGGTACCGAGTATTTACTCTGTGTTACTTATGTGCCAGAAGGCAGTGGAAGAATGAAGAGAACATAGGCTTTGGATTAACACAGAATGGGTTTGAAAGTCAGCTCCATTATCTTTTCTTATTTTTATTTTATTTTTGTGAGTTGGAGTTTCACTCTGTCACCCAGGCTGGAGTGCAGTGGCACACTCATGGCTCACCACAGTCTCAGCCTCCAGGGTTCAGGTAATCTTTCCACCTTAGCCTCCCAAGTAGCTGGGACTACAGGTGTATGCCACCATGCCCAGCTAATTTTTTATTTTTTATTTTTTTTGAGTTGGAGTCTCACTCTGTTGCCCAGACTGGAGTGCAGTGGCAGCTCCCGGCCACCGCAGCCTTGACCTGCTGGGCTCCGGCGATCCTTCCGCCTCAGCCTTCCGAGTAGCCGGAATTACAGGCACGTGCTACCACGCCCGGCTGATTTTTTGATTTATTGTAGAGATGAGGTCTCGCTGCCCAGGCGGGTCTCGAACCCGCGGACTCAGGCAATCCACTCACCTCAGCCTCCCAAAGGCACGGGATTACAGGCTGAGCCACCGAGCTCGGCAATTTTTTAAAAATGTTTTGTAGAGATGATATCTCGCTATGTTTCCCAGGCTGTTCTCGAACCCCTGGTTCAAGCAGTCCTCTCATCTTGGCTTGCCTAAGAGCTAGGATTACAGGTGTGAGCCACCACGCCCAGCCAAACTCTATTATCTATTAGCTATATTAACCTCCCTGGACCTGCATTTGTAAAAGAAGGATACAGCACTTCCCCAACATGATTTATTTATTTATTTATTGTGTCAGATTCTCACTCTTTTGCCCAGGCTAGAGTGCAGTGGCATGCTCACAGCCACCGCAGCCTCAACCTGCAGGGCTCAGGAGATCCTTCTGCCTCAGCCTTCCAAGTAGCTGGAACCACAGGTGTGCGCTGCCGCACCAGGCTGATTTACTGTAGAGACAAGGTCTCACCAAGTTGCCCAGGCTGGTCTCAACCCCCTGGTCACGGGCAATCCTCTTGCTTCAGCCTCCCAAAGTCCTGGGATTACAGGCTTGAGCCACTGTGCCCAGCCATGATTGTTGTAAGAATTAAAACATTAGCCGGGCATGGAGGTGCATGTCTGTAGTTCCAGCTACTGAGGTGGAAGGCTGAGGCGGAAGGATCGCCGGAGCCCGGCAGGTCGAGGCTGCGGTGGCCGGGAGCGGCCACTGCACTCCAGTCTAGATGACAGAGTGAGACTCCAACTCAAAAAAAAAAGAATTAAAACATTAGCTGGGTGTGGTAGCATGTGCCTGTAGTTCCGGCTACTTGGAAGGCTGAGGCAGAAGGATTGCTTAAGCCCAACAGGTCGAGCATGCGGTGGCCATGACTGTGCCACTGCACTCCAACCTGGGCGACAGAGTGAGACTCCAAATAAAAAAAAAAAAAAGAATTAAAACATGATAACATATGTCACAGTGTGGCTATTCAAGGTTCTCCTGCTCTTGCAATTAAACAAATAAGTTCTTTGTCTTGTAGGTATTTTTATTCCAAAACACAGTAATGGGGTATACAAATAGGAGCAGGCATGTGACAACTGCAACCTTGGCTCTTCTTTGCCAATCTATCCCCTTCTCCAAAATTTCAGGCAGTATTTTCTCCAATAAGTAATACCACCACCTGTTTCAGATCAGGGTTTTTCTTTATCCCTGGCTTTTCTTCTTTCTTTTTTTTTTCCCCACTAAAGTTGGGGACCACTCTGTCACCCAGGCTGAAGCAGAGTGATGTGATCATAGCTCACTGCAGCCTTGAACTTGGGACTCAAGTGATCCTCCCACCTCAGACTCCTGAGTAGCTGGGGTTACAGATGTGTACCATCATGCCTGGCCCCTAAAATTTCTAATATGAAAATTTGTACTGTGATTATGGTTCTTGGCAAGCCTTTTATGTTCTTATGTTTGCCTCCCAAACTAGGCTATGAACCATGGGGACGAGACCATGGTATTTTGTTTGATTTAATTATTTGGTATTATTACATAGTACTTACTAGAAAGCTGTACAGAGCCTGAGAGTATGTGTTCAGATCAGGTGAATGATTTAAACTGATTATGACATGGAACCAGGCATGAAAATACCATTAATAAAGTCATATTAATTCACTCATTTAACAAAACTTACTGAGCATCCACTATGTGCCAGACATTGTTAAAGGTGCTAGAGATTTAACAGACACAAAGGAAATGGGGTCTCTGTTCTGGTGGAGCTGATAAACTAGCAGAAAAACACAGACAATCAATAAGGAAACCGTGAAACAAGATCATGTCAGTGTGTTAAGTGCTACAAAAAAAAAAACAACTGCTAGAGGTTTTTTGAGCACAGGGATATTACTTCAGTTAGGGTGGTCAGGAAAAACATCCTAAGACAGGAGACATCTGAGCTGAGACCAGAATGATAAGAAGGAACCAGCTCTGCAAAGAGAAATGCAAGTTCAAGGGCCCTGAGTTGAGAATGCGCTTAATGGTCGAGGAGAGGAAAGAAAACCAGAGTGGCAGCAGTGTTGAGTGCAGGGGTGGGGCTGAACAAGATAAGATCAGAGAAAAAGCCAAGGGCCACATCGAGAAGGGCCCTGTAAACCACAGTACAACCCTTAGATTTTCTTTTTTTTTTTTTTAGATTAGAAAATATAGTTTATTTAAAAACTAATTTAGAAAGAGAGAGAGAGAAGATTCACTTCTCTAAGAAAGGAGAGGGGGCCAGAGCTTAGGAAAGCATGGCCTGGTCATAGCTCAAAGAGCACATGGCCATACCATAGCTTAGCAAGGCAATGGCCCCCTTAGATTTTCTTTTTTCTTTTTTTTTTGAGTTGGAGTCTCTGTCGCCCAGACTGGAGTACAGTGGCCACTCCCAGCCACCACAGCCTCGAACTGCTGGGCTCCAGCGATCCTTCCACCTCAACCTTCCAAGTAGCTGGAACTACAGGCGCGCGCTACCATGCCCGGCTCATTTTTTGATTTATTGTAGAGATGAGGTCTCGCCAAGTTGCCCAGGCAGGTCTCGAACCTGCGGGCTCAGGCAATCTACTCACCTCGGCCTCCCAAAGTGCTGGGATTACAGGCTGAGACACCGAGCCCGGCTAGATTTTCTTAATGGTACAATGAGCCGGTCACAGTGGCTCATGCTTGTAATCTCAGCATTTTGAGAGGCTGAGGTGGGAGGATCACTTGAGCCCAGGAGTAGGAGACCAACCTGGGCAACATAGCGAGAACTCATCTTTACAAAAAATAAAAATAAAAAATTAGCCGGGTTCAGTGGCTCAGCCTGTAATCCCAGCACTCTGGGAGGCTAAGGTGTGCGGATTGCCTGAGCCTGCGGGTTCAAGACCCGCCTGGGCAACTTGGTGAGACCTCATCTCTACAACAAATCAAAAATTAGTAGGGCATGGTAGCGCACACCTGTAGTTCCAGCTGCTTGGAAGGCTGAGGCTGAAGGATCGCCTGAGCCCAGCTGGTCGAGGCTGTGGTGGCCAGGAACGTGCCACTGCACTCCAGTCTGGGTGACAGAGACTCCAACTAAAAAAAAAAAAATAGCCAGGCAGGGTGGCTCACACCTGTAGTCTCAGCTGCTTAGGAGGCTAAAATGGAAGTATCACCTGAGCCCAGGAGATCATGGCTGTGGTGAGCTACGATCATGCCACTACAATAAAATGTCTCTACAATAAAATAAAAAATAGCCAGGCATGGAAGCGCATGTCTGCAGTTCCAGGTACTTGGAAGACTGAGGTTGAAGGATCGCCAGAGCCCAGCAGGTCAACGCTGGAGTAGCCATGAGCATGTGTACCACTGCACTACAGCCTAGGCAAAGGACAGCGTGAGACCCTGACTTAAAAAAAAAAGTACAGCCGGGCTCGATGGCTCAGCCTGTAATCCGGTGCCTTTGGGAGGCTGAGGTGAGTGGATTGCCTGAGCCTGCGAGTTCGAGACCCGCCTGGGCAGCGAGACCTCATCTCTACAATAAATCAAAAAATCAGCCAGGCATGGTAGTGCATGCCTGTAGTTCCGGCTATTTGGAAGGCTGAGGCAGAAGGATCGCCAGAGCCTAGCAGGTCGAGGTTGCAATGGCCGGGAGTGGCCACTGCACTCCAGTCTGGGTGACAGAGTGAGACTCCAACTCCAAAAAAAAAAAAAAAGCTGGGCTCGGTGGCTCAGCCTGTAATCCCGCGCCTTTGGGAGGCTGAGGTGAGTGGATTGCCTGAGCCCGCGGGTTCAAGACCCGCCTGGGCAGCGAGACCTCATCTCTACAATAAATTAAAAAACCAGCCGGGCGTGGTAGCGCATGCCTGTAATTCCGGCTACTCGGAAGGCTGAGGCGGAAGGATTGCTGAAGCCCAGCAGGTCAAGGCTGCGGTGGCTGGGAGCGGCCACTGCACTCCAGTCTGGGCGACAGAGTGAAACTCCAACTCAAAAAAAAAAAGTACAATGAAAAGGCAGTAAAGGGAGGAGTGATCTGAAATGATCTTACTGATATCTTAAGATCATTCTGGGTGCTGTGAGTAGAATGGTTTGTAGAGAGCCGGGCTCGGAGGCTCAGCCTGTAATCCCGCGCCTTTGGGAGGCTGAGGTGAATGGATTGCCTGAGCCCGTGGGTTCGAGACCCGCCTGGGCAGCGAGACCTCATCTCTACAATAAATCAAAAAATCAGCCAGGCATGGTAGCACGTGCCTGTAATTCCAGCTACTTGGAAAGCTGAGGCGGAAGGATCGCCGGAGCCCAGCAGGTCGAGGCTGCGGTGGCCGGGAGCGGCCACTGTACTCCGGTCTGGGCGACAGAGTGAGACTCCAACTCAAAAAAAAAAAAAAGAATGGTTTGTAGGGAAGCAAAAGTGGATGTAGGGACACCAGTATGGATATTACATGGTACAGCAATGGACCGTGGTAGTCACAGTGAAGACTAGAAGACAGGAACAAGATGTATTCTAGAGGTGAGCCAGGAATGAAACGTGCATAACTAGAAGGTTTCTCTTCCTACCCCTGCCCACATCTTGCCCTTACCTCCAAATCCATATATATTGCACTCATGGCCACCTTGGTGCCTTGTCTATAAATAGTCTTCTGGTCCTTTCTCAGCATCTGCTCAGTGCTCAGTCCTAGAAAGTAGATATGAGACTAGATGTCACATGGGAAGCCCAGGGTCCCAAGACGAGGAAGGTGAGTGCAGCAAGACGGGTCAAGGAAGAGCAAAAATACTGCCTCTCTTTGGATCAATGAACATGGGAGATAACTGAAAATGTAATATTTACCTTTAGAGCAAGAGACTTGAAGAGAAGGGCTAAAGCAAGCAGGGAGGCTTTTCACTCTTGATTTCTCCCCTTTCTGTATTGTTTTAACTTTCTTTTTTTTTGAGTTGGAGTCTCACTCCTTCGCCCAGGCTGGAGTACAGTGGCACACACGCTCACGGCCACCCCAGCATCGACCTGCTGGGCTCCAGTGATCCTTCCACCTCACCCTTCTGAGTAGCTGAAACTACAGACACATGCTACCATGCCTGGCTATTTTTTATTTTAGTGTAGAGACAAACTCTCGCCAAGTAGCCCGGACTGGTCTCGAACCCGCGGGCTCAGGCAATCCACTTGCCTCGGTCTCCCAAAGTGCTGGGATTATAGGTTGAGCCACCGAGCCCGTTCTATTTTAACTTTACATTTCCTTTCTGCCCTCTTCCTCCCCGTCCCCTCCCTCTCTCCCTTCTGCTCTTCCTTTTTATGTCAACAGATAGTACCTGGGGAGAATATTATAGATTTTTTTGGTTCTCTTCCTTTGTCTTTTGTATACTCACAAAATGTTATATGTCCAATGTTCTCTGATTAGACTGGAACCCTTGAGACTCTTAATATATTCCTCCTCATCCTACCTCAGAGCTAGGATGAAACAATCCAGTAAATGACTGATTAGTTTATGATCTAATACGCTACCTCATTTCTCTCTGGTGTAAAGCTGAACTCGTTGTGCATGCTCTGTGATTGTTTTGCTGGTATTCAAGAATATAATGAACAAGGACTGCCTTCCTGTTATCTCATGTGGGAGGTAGAGATGTCAGCTCAACACTTCATACCTGATACATCAAATTTGGCCTTTTGTAGGGAATCAAAGATGTCATTTCTCTTGGGCAGATCTGGAAAGAGGGCCTCTAGTTTCTCCACATATCTGCTGTCCTTTAGGGTTGCCTTTCCAATTTTAGGGTCCATGTTGACACAGTCCAGGATGATGGTTCCTGTGAAGAAGGGAGATGGCGGAACTAAAATCCTGTGACCCTCCATGCACAACCACTAGAACATACATAACCTTCAAATCAGATGGACACAATACAGAGGAGACTTGTATGGCAAACTCATCAAAAACAGAACAAGAAAGTGGGACTGAGGTTCCAAGTAAGACCTCCCAAATCAAACTAAAATGTACGCGGGTGCCGGGCGTGGTAGCTCATGCCTATAATCCCAGCACTTTGGGAAACTGAGGGGAGAGGATTGCCTGAATCCAGGGGTTTGAGACCAGCCTGGGCAATTTGGTGAGACCTTGTCTCTACAATAAATAAAAAATTAGCTGGGCGTGGTGGTGCTTGCCTGTAGTTTCAGCTACTGGGATGGCTGAGGTGGAAGGATCGCCTGAGCCCAGCAGGTCAAGGCTGTGGTGGCCGTGAGTGTACCACTGCACTCCAGCCTGGGCAACAGAGAGAGACTCCTACTCAAAAAAAAAAAGGTCAGGCGGGGTGGCTCACGCCTATAATCCCAGCATTTGGGGACACAGAGGTGAGAGGACTGTCTGAGCCCATGGATTCAAGACCAGCCTGGGCAACTTGGCAGGACTTTACCTCTACAATAAGTCAAAAAACTAGCCAGGCGTGATGGCGCATGCCTGTAGTTCCAGTTACCTGGAAGGCTGAAGCGGAAGGATCACCTGAGCCCAGCAGGTTGAGGCTGCAGTGGCCAGGAGTGTGCCACTGCCCTCCAGCCTGGGTGACAGAGTAAAACTTCAACTCAAAAAAAAATTAAAATAAATAAAATACAGTAAAATGTAGGCAAGGATTTGGTGAAAAGTTAGAATGAGCCTGAGAATCTCAGTCTCTGGAGATCTGTAACCTAGTCAGAGAGATGACATCTCTTCAGTAGGCCAAATTCCATCAAATATTCTTACAAGTTTCAAGAGATAGTCTAATCCAACTCATTTTTAAAAAAATAAATAACAAAAAATGATAATAGGAAAGGTTAAAAGACTTGCTCAGGGTCACATAACTATCTCCTGGAGGAACTAGTATTAGAATCCATTTCCTGCTTCTTTGGCTAGTCTTCCCTTCATTATACACTAACACTGATAGGAAGCCTCTAGGTCTGACGCCCTGTACTTCCTTTCTGCTTACTTCAACAAAGTACCCCACAGACCTTTAAACAAATGCCTCATTGTTCCCAGAAAGAGTCCCATCCTTTGGTATGAACTGAATGTCTTAGAGAGCATATGGTTAGGCTCGAAGAGTCTAGACTTTTCCACTCTCCCTTCTCTGGGATGGGAACAGAACAAGTCAGGTCCCAACCCCAAAGCCACTCTCTCACCATGCAGAAGGGCTGCAGTTTGCCTGTCCAAGATCTCTGGTGCCCCCTGCAGGATTCTCTCCGTCACCAGAGTAGCACAGGACCCCACCAGCTCCACGGAAACATGGCAGGGAGGGCAGTGTTTCTGCTCGATGGGCCGATGGTCTAGCACCTCTGCTACTGCCTCCTCCAGGGCCCCGTCGCTTCTGTGGAGGGGGGAAAGGGTGGGAAAAGAGAAAGAAAGAAAGAAAGGGCACTCCAGATGCTTCTAGCCAATGTCCACCCACCCATCAAGGAAAATGCAAATGTCTTAGGCAAACACAGCTTTTGGTTGCTTCTCCCTCTGCCTCACTCCTCTCAATTCTTTTTCTGACTGAAGTCATCTCTATTTTTGTTCTTTTTCTTTTTAAAGAGACAGGGGTTGCCCAGGCTGGTCTTGAACTCCTGGGCTCAAGTGATCCTCTCCAAAGTGCTGGGATTATAGGTGTGACCCACCACGCCTGCTTTAAGTCATCTTTAAATATAGTGCATAAGTAAGTTTTGTGAAGCATCTGCTGCAAATATCTGGTCCATAGAGTTATTGGGTTTTAGGATTTTCTTTCCAGTTGATGCCCTTGATACCCAATATCTTTTTTTCTTTTTTTTTTTTTTTTGAGTTGGAGTCACTCTGTCACCCAGACTGGAGTGCAGTGGCCGCTCCCAGCCACTGCAGCCTCAACCTGCTGGGCTCCCGCGATCCTTCGGCCTCAGCCTTCCAAGTAGCTGGAACTACAGGCACGCGCTACCACGCCCGGCTAATTTTTTATTTTATTGTAGAGATGAGGTCTTGCCAAGTTGCCCAGACGAGTCTCAAACCCGCAGGCTCAGGCAATCCACTCACCTCGGCCTCCCAAAGCGCTGGGATTACAGGCTGAGCCACCGAGCCTGGCCGATAACCAATATCTAAACCTCTCCTGCTGCCTCAATTCACTCAATACCCAAACCCCATGTAGGTGCAGCCTTCACCTAATTTCCTACCCATGCCCTTTTTTCCAATCCTCTGTTACTGCTTTGTTCCAGGCCCTCAATATCTCTCACCTGAACTATCCTAATAGTTGCTTAATTGATCACCTGCTTCCAACCAAGAGTCCTCCTAAACTATCCTTCACAAAGCTGCCTGAATGATTATTTGAAAAAAGTAATTTGAGCCAGGCATAGTGGCTCACACCTATAATCCCAGCACTTTGGGAGGCTGAGGCAAGAGGGATTCGAGAACTGCCTGGGCAACTTGGTGAGACCCTGTATCTACATTAAATAAAAAACAATTAGCTGGGTATGGTGGTGCATGCCTGTGGTTCTAGCTATTTGGAAGGCTGAGGCAGAAGGATCTCCTGAGCCCAGCAGGCCAAGGCTGTGGTGGCTGTGAGTGTGCTATTGCACTCCAGCCTGGGCAAGAGAGTGAGACTCCCACTCAAAAATAAATAGGCCGGGCTTGGGGGCTCAGTCTGTAATCCCAGGACTTTGGGAGGCAGAGGCCATTGGATTGCCTGAGCCTGCAGGTTAGAGACCAGCCTGGACAATTTGGTGAGACCTCATCTCTACAATAAATAAAAAAATAGCAGGGCATGGTAGCACATGCCTGTATTTCCAGCTACTTGGAAGGCTGAGGTGGAAGGATCACCGGAGCCCAGTGGGTCAACGCTGGGTAGCCATGAGTGTGCCACAGCACTCCAGCCTGGGCAACGGAATGAGACTCTAACTCAAAACAAACAAACAAACAAACAAATAAATAAGGAGAGCGTAGGGGCTCGTGCCTATAATCCCAGGTCTTTGTGAGGCCGAGGCAAGAGGACTGCCTGAGTCTATGGGTTGGAGACCAGCCCAGGCAACTTGGCAAGACCTCATCTCTACAATAAATCAAAAAAAATTAGCTGGGTGTGGTGGCGCGTGCCTGTAGTTTCAGCTACTTGCAAGGCTGAGGGCAGAAGGATGACCTGAGCTCAGCAGGTCGAGGCTGTGGTAGCCGTGAACGTGCCACTGCACTCCAGCCTGGACGACAGAGTGAGACTCCAACTCAAAAAATGAATAAATAAAATAAAATTAAATTAAATTTAAAAGTCCAGTCTCCTTAGAAGGGCCTACAAGGGCAGGGCTCAGTGGCTCAGCCTGTAATCCCAGCACTCTGGGAGGCTGAGACAAGTGGATTGCCTGAGCCCGCAGGTTTGAGACCAGCCCAGGCAACTTGGTGAGATCGCATCTCTACAATAAATAAAAAATTAGCCAGGTGTGATAGCATGCGCCTGTAGTGCCGGCTACTTGGAAGGCTGAGGCAGAAGGATCACCGGAGGCTAGCAGGTCAACACTGGGGTGGTCACGAGTGTGCCACTGCACTCCAGCCTGGGTGACGGAGTGAGATCTGACTCAAAAAACAAAACGAAACAAAAAAACCCCAGAAGGGCCTACAAGGCCTTCTGCCCCTCCTCCAGCCTCTCATATTTTTCCTCGTCCTACTTCTCCCTCATATGTTATGCTCCAGCTGTGCAAAACAAAGTCCAGTTCCCCGAACTCACCTTGCTATTTCATGCTCGCTTGCATTTGCTTCTATTTATTCCTCCCTCTGCCTGGAATGCCTTTCCTAACCATCTACCCTCTTCCCTCCCCATTCACTGAGCAAATACCTCGTCCTCTTTCAAAATTGAGATCAAGGGTCAACTCTGCCAGGAAGCCTTTCTTGATGCCTTCGACATCCCCCTAGTATCATGAACATCCTTCATGTACTTTCATGTCCCTACCTGTCCTCTAGAGTCGACAGTTATCCCTTACTTGCCTCTAACATTACAAAGATCTGTTTGCCTAGTTTCCTCTCCTGCCTGAAAGCTTGAGAACAGGGACTCTGCCTTACTTCCATTCTCTAAATAAAAGCTTATTAATGACTGAGTGCATAGACAGATTAGTGCTCTGTCAATGTCCTGCTATAACCACAGTGTGTGCAAGAAAAAAATATATACATTTTAATATTAGCAGGAGCCAGACAGACTTAAGAAAGTCTCAGATATGTGTTGCTTTTTTGGCAGTTTTTTTTCCTAGCCCTAAATTAGGGATGGAATTATTACAGATGTGTACATTTGTCAAACAGACACTAATGAGATATTTATAGACTCTGCCATAACACATTATTTTTAAAAATCGTAAGAATTTATACAGGAAATACTTTTACTAACTTTTAAAAAATTAATAAGAGCTGCAAACATTTTTCAAAACTTTCTGTTACAAGAAATCTTATACAAAATAAAATGGTTTTTTTTGAGTTGAGGGTCTCACTGCTGCCCAGACTGGAGTGCAGTAGCACAATCATGGCTCACTGTAGCCTCAAACTCCTGGCTCAAGCAATCTTCCTTCCACAGTCTCTGAGCAGCTGGGGCTGCAGAAGTGTGCTACCACAACTGGCTAATTTTATTTTTTTGTAAAAATAGGGTCTCCTTAGTTTTCCTAGGCTGATCTCAAACTCTTGGGCTAAAGCAATCCTCCTACCTCAGCCTCCAAAAGTACTGGGATCACAGGCATGAGCCACGATGCCTGGCCCAAAAATCTTAAAATAATGATACCAAAAGCATATTTCAGTGGTTTTAATTATCTTTTAGTTTGAACTCACCATGTTCTATTTCTTGTTAATATTATAATGGGAGGTGAGAGGATTGCCTGAGTCCAGGGGTTCGAGACGAGACTGGGCAACTTGACAAGACCTGGTATCTACAATAAAAAAAAAACAAAACTAGCTGGGTGTGGTGGCACGCACCTGCCTGTAGTTCCAGCTACTTGGAAGGCTGAGGTGGAAGGACCGCTTGAGCCCAGCAGGTCCAAGCTATGGTGGCTGTTAGCGTTCCACTGTACGCCAGCCTGGGTGACAGAGTGAGACTCTGACGCAAAAAAAATTATAGTGTATGTCTTTATGCTGTGTCTACATAGTTGGAGCGTATGACAATATTTTCTGTATCTGATATGATCTATCAATTTATGAGTAGGCTGAGATCCCTGAAAGCAAAAAACTAAAAAAAAAAAAAAATTTTAACTTATTTTATTTTTTAGAGGTGGGGGTCTCACTATGTTGCCCAAGCTGGTCTTGAACTCCTGACCTCAAGTGATCCTCCCCCGCCTCCGAAGTGCTGGGATTACAGGCATGAGCCATTGGGCCCAGCCAGCAAAAACTTTCTTCCTGTTTTTTTTTTGAGTTGGAGTCTCACTCTGTCGCCCAGACTGGAGTGCAGTGGCCACTCCCGG